AATAATGCAAGCTAAATTTTGCTACTGAGCATGTCGCTGGTCTGGAAAAATAGGCTCACATAAGAAGAAAGGGGAATACTATATTATTAAAATGACTTACATTGCGAAGCCGTGGAGGATTCAGACTCGCAATTCTCCGATTCTCTTGGGTGCCGCTTGCAGTTGACAGGCAAGAACGCTTGCCTTAGGGCCTATAGGTACCGCCCCCTAACTCTACACTCGAAACCGACTGCCACTGTGCTATGGCTTTAAGATGCATTTTGCAGAGTAACTTCACTCACATACTTATCATGGATGTTTTCGAAGTAAATTGTGTAGAAGCTCCTGCAACGATCGAAGAACAATTCAAAGCCGATTTGCAAGATCTCGTTATCAGTGTTCCTCCTTACAATCACATTAATTTGCCCACTCACTTCAGAGCAGGCAACAAGCCAACAGGGCAAAAGATAAGGCCTTACGTTGATATTTAATACACTATTGTTTTATTAGTAGTATTTTCATTATTGTTACTATTGCGATATCCCCAAAAGCTATCCAACGGGACTTGTTAAACAACGGTTCCTAATCTGCATAAATTCACTGCTTTTTGTCATTGTCCATTCGAACGTCACACGCTGTTTGCACGGGATGGAGTGGTTTGATCTTTATCCTCTTTCTCCCACTTGTAAAATCGAAGTCGGTTATGTTAGGTGGTTGTTCACGGCATGGGCACACGTACATTGGGTTTGGCTTCCTTATTGTTCCAAAACGGTTACTGTTGGCTTCAGCGATACAACTTCGCAAGTTCTGGGTGGATTTCAACTAATGAGTTCGGTGCTACGCGAATGCAATCGAAACCACAAACTGAGTCGTAGCCTTCTTAGAAATGCTCTTATTAGAGTAAATGTAGGACCATACGATACCGCAGGGAATACATTATCAGTCTTACTTTAAATGTAGTGACAATGACCAAAATAACAAGTTAGCGCGTGTGAATATTAGCACGGAGCGTGCTAACATAGCTTTGTTAACGTAAATCGTTTCTGTGGAAAATAAGTAGGTAAATATATGCCCACAGAGTACAGAGAGATGCAAAAATCTTTAGCAAATCAGAGCACTCTATGTGAATGATAAATAACCTGATAGTAATGTATATCTGAGCTGCACTAAATTTTAATTGTATGCTTGTAATTAAAACATTAGGAAAAATTGACTACCAAAGCAATGTAAATGGCAAGTCACATTATTCCGGAGAAAACACTATGAAGTCGGTTCCTAAGGTAGGTAATATTGACTAACTTGCGTACTGTGCCACCGTACCTGCGCTACTTGCTCTGACACAACGTAACACCATATGCGGCAAGTCATACTTGATATGTCTGATGTTACCCCACAATGAATCAGCAGGGGCAATAAAAAGTAAACAAATATATACATCAAGCTATTTTGCAATAAGTGGACTTGATTGCAAGGGTGGATCACACAACGTGCACATACGGTAACCGTTATTCACAATCAATCAATTCATTCGTAATCCCAACATCTTCAAGCTCCTTGTCCACAACAGCTGCTGGATTCAAGCGGATAGACTTTGTCCACCTGTTTCATAGATCACATGAATGATGCTGAGATGTACCAGCAATGATAAATACGATATGCGTAGTATTAGGAATGAATAATGAACAAAACATACTTAGTTATATGATACAAGTACATCGATCTGTCTTTTGAATCCGCAATCCATACTCCAGCCAGATTTGTGACCACTAATGCTGAAGGAATTCAACGGCGCGTATCACACATTTGTTCCCGGTAAGTTCTTTTAGTATACCTGTACAATGTTTTCTGCGCATTCTGCTTGGGGTAACCCCTACTTTCCTATTGTGCCATGGAATCTTTTACAGTAAGATGGTGTATCCCGTGATAATGCGTTTCTCTCAGTCCCAGCCTTTGGAACATAAATCTTCTGTTATGTTTTGCTCATTTAGATGCCGACTTTTATAACCACGAAATTACCACCGATTAAGCTAAATAAAACAAACGCATGTCTAATCTCCCCAATGAAATATCTATGCGGGTCGGAGACATCATGGCTATGAGGACCTCAGGGAGGCCACGTTTACGCGCGTCATGCCTTCTGAGAAGGTTTGCCTGCGGCGGAAATGGAGGGAACTCTAGTTAGGCGAACAAACTGCCTTCCAATCTGCTTGGAGAGTTACAGCAGCGCCTTGGCTCATCAAACATGGACAAGACACTTCCACCAGCACCATGGCTGCAGAGACTGCCGGAATATACGTAAGCTATTACAGACATCATGAACACAGTGTCGCTCACCTAATTGGCCGATTTAGCAGACAGAATAATTGTATCCTCACTGCCACAGATCGACGTCAACACAGTCAATGTTATCAAGTATTAGAACAATTATACTGCAGCATTGCAATCTACGCTAGAAGCTCTGCTAGCAGACGTTGCGACAGTTAGTCGCAAGTCCAGCAGCTCACTATGAGAAAACGCCGTTGCAGCCCGTCGCAATCACAATCTCGACGCGCCAAATCTAACAACAGGCAAACTCACAGTTGATGACATCAATGCTTTAATGTTGCGGCGAGTAAGTGTATCAAGATTTACAACCTCGCTGAGAACCAGGGAAATATCTCGGCCGGGTCGTAATTGCGACGGACGCGACCGGCCAACAACAAAGTCGCTTTATCCGTCTTATGGATTTCAATTCCGGTAGCGAGTTCCCAGTGTACCTGGGAACGAAGGCGAGCTACGCACTCCATAGTTCAGATGAGGTAGTCTCATCCTCGCCGAGAAAGCTGCGTGCCGCCAACGGCAAACTAATCTCATCTTTTGGCTTGAAGCTGATAACGCTCAACCTAGGCCTTTGGCAACACTTTCGCCATCATACACGTAATCATTTTTCAGCATTTTGACCTTATGACTGATGCTAAAATGTGAAGGATTATCAACTCTGGGACACAGCTCACTAGTATCGGTACCAGCGCCAACATGCTCGCTAGTACTCTTATTCGTGTCCTGCCTCAACCTTCACTGCATATACTGATCGTTTCAACGAGCTTGGTACATTTGTATGGGGTTCCGAAAGGATTGTCTCACAAGGGGTCAAACATACTCCCCTATATCGCCAATACGTGTCTACACGTTTCGGCCCAATCCCGCAGATTCACCGCGGACAAACTCATAGCAGGTTAGGCAGAAATCTAGCAAATGCTTCAACTTGGAAAAATCCAGCCCCCTAAAGTCAATGGGATTCACCATTACATACGGAGCCAAAGAAATTCGATGACTGGCGTCCCTGTGGTCACTACAGAGTGCTCAGCAAAGTTAATGCCCCGGTTAAGTATTAAATGCCACACATACATTGCTTAATCTCAATTCTAGCTGGTAAGTCCGCTTTTAGCAAAATAGACCTAGACCAAATACCTTTGGCTCCAGCTAATATTGATAAAACAGCACTCATAATTCCGCTTAGAATATTCGAGTACTAGAAATTTCTTTGAGCCTAAGCAAATCTGCTCTATCATTTCAGCGTTTCATACATGAGGTAACACAAGGACTCGAAAGGATTTATCCTCACCTAGATAACAATCTCGTCGTCAGAACTCCTGACGATGAATATCTAGTTTTACTTGAGGCTATGTGTCAACGTTGGACGCAACATGCTCTTACCGACAACCCCGATACACACCAGCTTGATAAAAGCTCCATTGAATTTCTTTGTCCTAGAATGTCTGCCTCTAGCATTGAAGCACTGCCAGAAAATAAACCAGGCAATGTAGGACTATCTTGCCGCCTGTCTCTTTAAACATCTACTCAAATACCTTGGCTATCGACATTTTCTCCCGCGCCACGCAAGCATTACGCAGCCAATGACCCAGTTGCTTTGCGGCAAACATCGCACTTTTTCTTTATCAGACGATGCTCAATTGGCAATGGAGAAGCCCAAAGAAACTATCTCCAACATAGCGCTTCTCGCTCATCCAGACTCCTCAGCACCAAGGACTTTGACAACTGTCGCATCGGACACTGCAGTCGGTACGGTCCCTCAACAAATCATCGACCATCAATGGATAAATCTAAGCTGCTTTTCGAAGCGTTTGCAACCTGACGAATCGCGTTACAGCACTTTCGGTAGGCAGTTAGTCACTATCTGCAAAGGTGGCAGGCGTTCCCGTCACCATCCAAACGGTCTATATTCGTACTTTCCAACGGCCATAGGCCATTGATCTACGCAAGAAATGGTGCGACGGATAAGTACTCCCTGCGCCAAACTGGACACCAAGACAATGCCAACCAGTTCCAGACAGACCTACCACATATCTCATAAGCTATTAACCCCGTTGCGGACGCGCTGTCATAAACCCATGAGATCGGCATAGATTCTAAGTCCAATATCTACCTAGCAGCCATGACTACCGCCCAACAAGCCGATCCCAATATTTACTAGATTATATCCGGGAATCAGATAAAAACATAAAAGCAAAAAAGAAAAGTATATAATGGTGATTGAAAGCTGAGCTGAAGGGAATCGCCTAACCCAAGGGGTCGGGGCATCTCCCCAGGACTCATCCACATCCCTGTATTCACACATCCGGGGAGAGCGAAAGCGATACATCGGGGGGCGGCTTCGGGCCGCCACATCCCCAGGCAAGGTGCGGCCGCAGATCTCATCATCCCCTCACCCAGAGCCCGGTCCTCTGGGGTGGGGGGGAGGGGGGGGGGGACCTCGCTATCCGCTAGGGGTGGGCGCGTCACAAGCGCCACCGGGTCCCCGAACATTCTCATCGCGCGCCCCCCGCACCATCACCCCGCGAGGAGCGGCGCACCCGACGCCACGCGAGCACGGAGCGACCGACTCACCCCGAACCCATACATGCGCCTATGTCACGCCTCCATCCGAATTGAGATCACGCCCAGCACCCCGGTAGGCCGTGGGGCGCATCGGCTTATGATTCCCTCCCACAGAGAGGCGGGGCGCCCCCGCGAATCGCGACATGCACCCCCTCAAAATCACCCGGGGGGGGGGGGGGGGCCGCTGGGTTGGGTTCTCCGCGGGACAGAGCTCCCCACGGCCCTGCCCGCATCAACTCGAGCCAGTTGCAGCAACCCTCCCTCCCCACCGTGTTATCACCAGCTCGCCACTTTGCACAGCAATCAACACATCAGCAATGATCACATCCGTCCCGGATCGCGAAGCACACGCGTATAACGCCTCCGGCGCCAGCCCCGTACCCGGGACCCTTTGTTCATACGATGCGGAGTTGTGCCGCCGCCTTCCCGCCCCCATGCGATTCGCAAGTCCCTACCTCGGAGGCACGCTGTCGGCGCGCTCTCTGAGACGTGAGGTACAACCGAACCCAAACCCTCAGCCCCCAAGCCTCTGCACGAGTGGGGGGGGGGGGGGGGGGGGGGGGGGGGGGGGGGGGGGGGGGTGGGGGGGGGGGTACAGATTGCCATCCCGATGTCCGCCGAGGGGGGTCGCGGGGGAGGGGGATGTCGGGGCGCGCCATGCGCGCGTGGCATCCATCATCCCCCGCCACGCTCGACCCGCAACGCCAGGTCGAGCGACCGCCCCTAGCAGCCATCGCACTCTCGTGCAGGGATCTCTCTCCTCGGACCCCCTTAAAAAACCAAACCCATCCACCGCCACCCCCCGCCAAACCACCGGACAACATTGCCACTCAACCAACACCCCACGATCCCCACCGGGGGGGGGGGGGGGGGGGGGGGGGGGGGGGGGGGGGGGGGGGGGGGGGGGGGGGGGGAAGACACCCCCCCCCCCACGGAGAGGTACGCGCCGTTTCCGCCCAGAGCCGCCGGGCAGCTCGGGGGGGGGGGGGGGGGGGGGGGGTTGGGGGGTGGGCCCCCCTGCGCCCGCGTCACTTATCCCACGGTCCGGGCGGGTGGCGACATTCCCCCCAACCGCAGTGCGCAGTGGTCCGTCCCTCGCGGCACTGGTCCCCACCCCACACAGTAACCAAGCCGCGACGTCCCGACCAAGACCCTTGCAGCGCCTCGAATCCACACACCACCCATATCGCGGAGACCCATAACGTAGGGGGGGGGGGGGGGGGGGGGACGCACAGGAGAACTCCATCACACGCGCCAGATGCCTCCGTTCCCCCCGCCAATACCCCTTTCATCAACGCCGATCGATCCAATCGCAACGCCAGCCCGGGGTGCGCGCACGCGGGGGGGGGGGGAGGTGGGGGGGGGCAGAGGCCCGACGCAAGATGGGAACCCCATTCGCCCCACCCGTCGGGCCAGGCCTCCCACGCGAGACCACCTCGCCGGGCGCCACCGCACTGTCACAACAACTGCTCCTGCGAGCGACCCCCCACAACTGACCTCCCGCGCCTATGACATTTCCCGACATCCATCCGCGACGCGCGTCGCCAGGCCGAGCAATCGCGCGGGCCACCCCAGCTACACTTCTTGGGCGCAACCAGAAAAACCCCCCACACGGGGGGGGGGGGGGGGGGGGACCATCACTCAACACGAACAACGTCCCTGACTCTCCGACCGATCCACCCCCTCAGATCCGGCGACACCATCAACCCGCCCACCCTACCGCCCGGGCCCCGCCGACATCGGCCCCCCCCCCGCTCCCCCACCAGGGGGTCCTCCCCGCGTGCTCACAAAATTCCAGGGGGGCCCACATCTCACACACACACACCGCGCACCCGGTAATCAGCCTCCGGGATTAAACACAAAGGGGGGGCCCAAAGGCGGAGCGCACCCCCGGGGGGGGGGGATCCCCCAGCCGCTCACCATTTTCAAACTGAACATCCAAGGCCGCAATCCACCGTGTGCCCGCCCCAAACATCCCGAGGGCAATCAAGCACGAGTAACATCGCCCATCCCCCCCCCGCGTCAACATACCCTTTCACGCAGAACGAGCAGTGAATCCAAAAGTGGGTTCTTTTCCATCACATCCACCTTCATCATCACCACCACAGATCTTACCCCAGATCATACTTACCAATCTCCTGACATCCCACCCTTCCTACCTCCGCCTCACAAAAAACCCCCTCCCATTCTATATCACACCAGTACCATACTATCCCCTACGTGCGGTCGATCAAGGCAATCGATCGAGCGGAAGAATGCGTTTTCAAACACCCAGCTAATTGTACTTTTGCCTCAGACTTGAGAGGGCAGTGTTTTCGGAGGCATTATCTGGCTACGTTGGCAGAGCATTCTGTTAACAAGTTTTTCGTGATCAAAACTGTCGGAATTTTGCTTTTTTTTCGGCTGGGCTAGAATTTTAGCGGTGAAATTTGTGGGTGGTTAATTCGGAATAGCGATAAAAGTGAAGATCTACCGGTACCGTATGCAGCCATGACAGCAGTTGATCAGGAGATCGACTGACTGGAACGAGCCGGTGTCATCACACCAGTGAACTACTCTTCATGGGCTACGCCGATTGTTGCTGTGAGAAAGCCGAATGGTAAAGTGCGAGTCTGCGCCGATTTCTCGACTGGCCTGAATGCCGCATTGAACGATCATCAATACCACCTTCCGATACCAGAGTATATATTTGCCAAGCTGAATGGTGGGAAGTGTTGCGCCATCAAACACGTGCGGTCTCCACCATTCCACCCACAATCGCATGGCCAAGCGGAGAAGTTTGTGCATACATTTAAACGCGCTCTCCTCAAATCAAAGAGGGAGGGAGACATAGATGAGCTGACCGACTGCTTCTTTTTCTGTATCCATCTACACAACCTTTACAAACACCGGGTGGAATATCACCAGCAGAGGCAATGTTGAAGAGAAAATTTCGCATGCCATATGATGCAGTTCGGCAGTCCTCAAAGTCCGTAGCTGGTTAAAGGAACCTCAAGATAGAACGTGATTTTAATCCGCGATTTGGTGCCAAGCAACGTTCGTTTAGACTGCGTCAGCCAGTACTTGTGCATGATTATCGGTGTGGACACGCGAAATGGACGTCAGGCACGATCCAGCGCAAGCGCGGAAGCGTCATTTACGACGTGCTGGTTGGAATGCAGGTATGGGTACGCCATGCAAACCAACTGCGAACAACAATGTGTCAGCCACAAGCAACAGATTCCGCCACGTTTCCATTTGACTTGTTGACAGACAGCTTTAAATTGCCTACAGAGCCAGTAGGAGAATCCTATCATCAGACGAATGGTACCAGACCGCAGAGCACGGAATCCGAATCCAGAACACTACAGCCAAGGCGATGCGCCGGTAGGCGAAGAACGCCTTCCAGGAGGCTTCAGGTTAATCCCAGGCTAGCGTCATACACATAGCAGCAGCTTCAAGAGGGGAGATATTCGGGAACCAGATAAAAACATAAAAGCAAAAAAGAAAATTATATAATGGTGATTAAAAGCTGGGCTGAAGGGAATCGCCTACCCCGTGCGGTCGATCAGGCAATCGATCGAGCGGAAGAATGCGTTTTCAAACACCCAGCTAATTGTACTTTTGCCTCAGAGTTGAGAGGGCAGTGTTTTCGGAGGCATTATCTGGCTACGTTGGCAGAGCATTTTGTTAACAAGTTTTTCGTGGTCAAGACCGTTGTGATTTTGCTTTTTCTTCGGCTGGGCTGGAATTCTCGCGGTGAAATTTGTGGGTGGTTAATTCGGAATAGCGAAAAAGTGAAGATCTAACAGATTACACGCAACACTTCACTGAAACCATGCGAAGTTACGCGAACGTCATCTCATGGAACCATTATTTGCGAGGTTCTGCAATATTCACCTCATCCTGTTATTACTAGGACAATGCGCCGACCAGTTTTCTACACTCTATACAACCCAGCGCGTCCCGGTAAACGTGCTTCGCAGAACCTCGTAACCGAAGCGTTTGTCTAACACAGCGTCAACTGCGATGTCGGCATTGGACTCGCACATGCTTGGTGTGCCACTGCACCAATGTGTATAGACAAACCAAAAGTCAATCAACGTCTTTCAGGCTCCTGACTCACATTTCGCGTGTGTCCATGTCAACTTAGTTGGACTTACGCCACCATGCAAAGGCTACGGTAATGACACGCCTGTGTCGATCGATTCATCCGTTGGCCAAGAGCAATCCCAATATCAGACTGCACGTCTGAGACAGTAGCACGCGCTTTCCTCGATTGTTTTTTCGCGCGGGTTGGTTGACAAACCGTAGTTATTACCGAAAGAGGATCCACTTCTAAGGATCCTCCAATAAGCATCTCAACCATCTTAGCTGCCAAAACAACAGAACAGCCCTATACCGCCCTTCAGCTAAACGGATGCTTGAACGATTCCACCGGCAACTCAAGGCATCATTCTGTGCCCAACCTAGTGCCCCTTGGTTCGAAGTACTTCAACTCGTTCTCTTAGTAATATGGAAGACAATTAAAACGAGGTGACACGTCACTACATCTTTGCCAGTCTTTTGATGTACACAATGCTTACTTGCTTAAATGGTCTCAGCAAACGCACCAACAAGCTGTTACTATGGCGACAACGAAGCTCGACTATCGTATAACATGTGACAGCTTCAGCCGGTGTAACCTATAGCACAAATCTTGTGTACTAAGTTGGACGAACGTCTCGCTACTTGCACTCATGTGTTTGTTCCTATCGATAGCGTACGCCAGCCACTTCAACCTCCATATTCCGGCACGTACCGTGTCGTAGGCCGAAACGAGACATTTACCACTGAGTATGATGGAAAAGGGGAGACGATCAAGGACGACTGAGACAAAGCCGCTTTCTTTGGCGATTCTGACTCTTCGGTGTAACAAGCACATACACAAAATACGCCATCACGGGCAACACCGCAACTCCAGATCATTCACTTCGCTCCAGGGGAACTGACAGCCTCAGCCGACATCAGTATTTCACGACCTATTACAATCCAAGATGGAAGGGCCATAACATATAGTACGCCATTTCGATTTCGTTTGCATTTTGTACATGACATAGAATATTGATTGCACCGTTTCATGCTCACATAGACGTTTCCCAATGTCCAGAAAGGCCTAATTACTTTGAAACAAAGAAATGAGCAAATACTTTTGATAATCCAACGACAGCTATGCACATTTTGGTTCTTAATTCCTATTGTGTATACCAGTGTATTCAAGCAGCTGTTTTCCACGTTGCTTTTCATATGCACATCGTCGGTTTTTGCCCTTTGGTTTCAGGTTTCGCTGAATCGCTGCACCCGGACAATCTCAACGAAAGCCATGTTCAGCAAGATACTCGAAATTGTATAAACTGTTCCCCACAAACACATTTTATCGTTGCTACAGCGTAGGTAGAAGACGGGTTGGACCGGTCTACGGTCAAAATGCAAGGTCTAAGGGGAGGGCTATGTGGCAGTATGGAGATGCCCCAGTTTGCAAGGAAAAATCTCTAACTAAAATCACTGTTTCATTATACATTTAAGCGACCTGTGCAGAATGTTGCGATGCAGGTTGAATTTGACCGTTTTTAATTGCATCGACCTGTAAAGATTTCAACTGCGTTCTGAGGTCTTATGATATAATAGATGGGCATCCGTAATTTGATACCCAACGGTCCAAGAACGCACGGACGACAGTTTCAGAAGTACCGTCTGAAAGAGGGACGGCTTCTAGTCATCTAGTAAAGCGGTCGACACATGGCAGTATAGGGCAATGGAACCATGGTATAATATGGATAAAAAGCCAAGGTTTAACAAATGCCGTGAGATAGTTAGTGAGAATAACGTTATTCCAATGAAGTTACACAAAATTGGAAAGTGGAAAGTGAACACAAACGCTAGCCCGTAGGTACATCCGCCTATCCCGATTTCGTTTGCTTAGTGAGCATAATTGTTGTCTGCTTCTTGCCGTTATCAATGTATAGAAATCAGATCAAGTACTGTAAGTGGCGTACATCATTGTCGTCGATTTAATACTGGGTAGCGTGAGCGCAGCAAGGACAAAGTCGAAAGTGTGTTTCACGGTCGATAAACTCGTAGGGAATATAATTGCGACGGCAATCAAGCGGACTGTATTGGATGGCAAGTTTCACTTTATGATCCCCATTTTAGGTAGCAGCTTAGCTTCGGGAGATGGTGACATGTGTGACCGGGGTTTTTCAAAATTTGGAACGACAGGAGGACGTCATCTCGTAGACTGCGATATCTTCTGTTGTGCACTTTCAGGGATTTCGGTCGCCTATGATTTTGTAGGTGGGAAAACACCTACAAAATTACACTCGGACATCGGTGCAGTTGGTCAGTACCAGAGTTGAAACCTATCGCTCAACCTTTATAGTTCTTGCGCCGATGGCTAAAATGTTGGAATAAGTTGTCGGACATAATAGTAGAAGCAAGTTCGGTGTCGGAATGTAAGAGAATTCTAGACGCCCACTTTTCGGATTACAGGGATAGGGAACGTATCGCACCCGGATAAGTTGTAGGACAGCTGTAATAGGCTGCCACCGCGCGGGATCAACGAGATGATTCCGCGCACGTGCCAGATTTAACTACGACGGAGTAACACAAGTTTGCGTCCTCACGCTCTCCAATTGCAATAATCAGTGTTGATCACTGTTCCCCTAATTGTTGGGCACATGTTGTAGTGTAATGATAATTTTCCAGCAATATATTCTACGTACCGAGGCAGTTGCATAGAAATTTGTAGGTCTTCCTACGATATATATAAACTATTTATACGAGTGTACGTATAGCAAATATTTGTACGCGTATCTATTACAACAGAGTGGATCAAATGAATGTTTGGCTGGAGGTAGATTTGACCCCTTTTTATCTTCCGGACTGTTCTTCGCATTCTTAACATCTTTACTTGCACATCCGCGGCACCTGTTGTATGGAGACGAAACAATGCATTCCATTAAAGGACATATAAAACGAAGAAAATATATATTTTTCCTCAATGAAATTATGAAATGGGTGAAAATTCTTGGTTGCATTGTGCAGC